GGCAGCGGTGGCAGGCGGCCTCGTGGCTCGGGCTGCCGGCTGGGATGGACGATGTCTGTGTGGGTTTTTCCATATCATTCGTCCTTACAGGGGCTCTGTGTGTAAACAGTATCCCCGGGCAGATGCGGGCTGGGCATAGCACCCAGATGCTCTTGGGGTCCCTGGCAGCCAAAAGCCCTCTGCCTGCCTGCTGCACTGCCTGTGCTTACCACCACCCTCCTTTCCCACCAGTAACAGCGGCTGCTATGAGCATCCCTCAGTGTCTGCCCGTGCCGAGGGACCCGTGCCTCACCCCAGCTCCCCAGCTTGTCCCAGGGCTTCCTGTGGGGTTTGTTCTTGCAGTGCCAAGCCTGTCCCTGTGGAATTCCCCTGCCCAGCTCTGAAGCTGCCAGTGCTGCCAGACACGGGGGTTTCCCTACGGCCCCAGCCCTGCCCCTGCTCCCTGCGGAGCCTCCAGAGAGTCACCAGAAAATCCCCCAGGCTGGTGCCAGGAGGAAGCTGGCGAGTAGGGCCGTGAGTCAGTGGGAGAGGCCGGGCCAGGGAGCAGAGCTGTGGCTGGCAGCCCCCACCGGGACACCGGCTCCCCAGCTCGAGGAGGCTCGGGGCCATTGGCCATGAACCCACCAGTGCACCCCAGAGCTGGCCAGGGCCAGGCAAGCGTGGGCTTGCCATGACAGGCTGAGTGGCGTGTGGGGCCCTGGCTCTTGGCTCCTCCTGCCAGCTCTCTCCACCAAGCCCCATCCCGGTCAGCACCGCTCTGCTCTGCTCAGCCATGGCTCTGCCCTGAGGGGTGCTGCAGGTGGTGCGGTGCGGTGGGTGCCATGGCAGTGTGCCCAGGCTGTGGGAGCTGCGGCTCCTGCATGCGGCGGAAACAAGGGATGGGAATAGCATGGGAAAGGCCCAGGGATTTTGCCACAGCACCAGGGAGGCCAGAGCCAGATTTGGCCTCCCTGGCTGTGCTCTGAAGCCACTGCCAGATATCCCTTTGCCTGGGCTGTCCTAGGGGTGCATCCTCCCAGCAGTGCTTTTGCATCCAGCTCCGGCACCATCTCCGTGTGCTGTGGGACGAGATCCTGGCAGCCTGGAGAGCAGAGGACATGGAGCAGTGCCTGCTCCCTGTGCATCCCAGGAGCCGTCGGCTGCAGCGGGGGCCTCGGGGCACCTTGGCAGAGCCCCATCCTCACCCCAGCTACCAGCCAGGCAGGGAGCACAGGGAGCTGCTGCCTCTTGCCTTACACAGAGCTGAGCCATGCACAGGGGTGAGGTGACAGGCTGGAACCGCAGGGAGGGGACACGTGG